TCCATCATGTGAGAAGCCTTCTCTGATACTCTTCTCGAGATGAATCAAGAAGGGTAGTAGGTAGCCGTGTTTGTGTGGAGCAGTAGAAAAGAGTAAGAATCCAGTAGCACCTTAAAGACAAAGGCTGTGATCAGACACACTAAATAATCCACCCTTGGGCTATCCAGGTCAGGTCAGTATTGTCTACTACTATAGTAGTAGCCCACACCTTGAATAGAAATTTGTTGGTCTTAAAGGTGCCACTGGACTCAAACTTTGTTCGACTACTATAGTGTTAGTGGTGGTGGTAGTGGTAGTTTCTCCTTCTACATTATCATCATCATAATGATAATCTATTATAGCATTATTATTTACTATTACCTACTACTACTGCTATTACCTACTTCTACCTACTACTACTACTGGGTAGCCGTGTTTGTCTGGAGCAGTAGAAAAGAGCAAGAATCCAGTAGACAAAGGCTGTGATCAGATACACTAAATAATCCACTTTCAATGCACTTTCCAGCTGGATTTTATTGTGTGAACTGGCAAAATCCAGTTGGAAAGTGCATCAAAAGTGGATTGAAAGTGGATTATTTAGCGAGTGTGATCACAGCCTAACAAGATTAGTGGCAGAGTGTGAGCTTTTGTGAATCACTGCTCACTTCTTCAGCTACCTGAAGAAGCCTATCTGTAGGAGCAGAAAAGAGTCCAGTAGCACCTTAAAGACTAACAGTAGCACCTGAGAGACTAACAAAATTTGTGGCACGGTATCTGAAGAAGGGAGCTGCGATGGCTCAAGTGGTTAAGACGCTGAACTGCAGGCTGTGGAAGGTCAGTAGTTCAGCAGTTCGAGACCCGGGTGCCGCATGATGAAGTGAGCTCCTGTCTCTAGTTCCAGCTCCTGCCAACCTACCAGTTCGAAAGCAAGAAATTGCAAGTAGATAAATAGGTACCACTTCGGTGAGAAGGTAACAGCGTTCCGTGCGCCTTGGTGTTTAGTCATGCCGGCCACATGACCACGGAAACGTCTTCGGACAGCGCTGGCTCTTCGGCTTTGAAACGGAGATGAGCACCGCAACCCTAGAGTCAGATTCGACTGGCTTTCGAGCAAGGGAACCTTTACCTTTACTTTATCTGAAGAAGAGAGAAGTGACTCATGGAAGCTCACACCCTGCTATAAATTTTGTTAGTCTCTCAGGTGCTACTGGACTCCTGTTCTTTTCTACAGTAGTAGTAGTAGTAGTAGTAGTAGTAGTAGTAGTAGTAGTAGTAGTAGTAGTAGTAGTAGTAGTAGTAGTAGTAGTAGTAGTAGTAGTAGTAGTAGTAGTAGTTTCTCTTTCCTGCCTCCAGGTGCCCCAGGACATCAGCCTGGGAGAACCTGTGGCTTCGACAGGCACCTGGCATTCAGCTTTTTAATAACCCGCCCCTGCCTTCATATCCTCCAGGCGAGCTTCCCTTGCATGTTTTTCCTGATCAGGAAAAGAAAGTCAAGCAAGCTGGTCTCAGCCCCCCCCCCC